AAATTAACTTGGGTTCCACTAGGATTTTGGTTCCTCATGAAACCTAGTTTGTACCTTTCTTTCGCCTTTCTTTTCTGTGATTCTTTCTGGTTTTGATAAAATAATAAGATGATTTGATTCTTTGATGGGTTCTCAACTTTTTTTGCAAATGAGTTAAAAGATTGTTCCTTTTTTCCAATCTAAATCAACCTCCACTAGAACCATGGATAAAATCTTTTTCGATCTTCCATGGAGGCTGGGTTCCATGAGGAACCCAATTTTGGGTGTGTAGAACCCCAAAACTTGGGTTTTGCAAGGAACCCATGAGGATGATAAAGAGGATGGTGAAGATGATATCGAGGATGAGGTGAAAGAAGAAGGTGAAGAAATTAAAGTTAATTATGTTTTAATTCATTTAATTTCTTGTTCTATTTTTTCTTTTTTTGGTTGGGAGGCATTTACAGAAAATTATGCCACATTATCATGCCACATCATAAAACAAATGTCCACATTGCATTAATAACGTCACGTAACGCCAAATCACTCTTTGGATGCCACATATTACATTTTTTAATAGTTATTAATGTTCACATGATGGTTCATTAAAATATTTTGGTTTTTCACAGATTTGAAAAAGTGTAAGATGTTGATCAAGAGGAAAATTTTATAAGGTATTAACCATAGAAAAAAATTAAATGGAAGGTGCAAGGATAATGATTTACACACTTTCTAGTTACACACCTCACCACACACTCTCTATTTCCATTATGCATACTAACGATCTTTGTAACACACGTAACCGCTAAACTTCTTCATCTTCTTCAACTCTAGAAACTGCTGGGTTTCTTAATCTTGCTACCATTTATGTAAGAAGCAAACATCCAACCCAAAAAAGTGTCACAAAGAAACTTTTCAATCAATTATTAAACCCTTACATAGCCCTTGAAGACTAAATTAATGGAACCAACTTTAATTAGGCAAAGGACTTGTAGAAAGGAAGATTCCAATCTTGAAGAGAACATGTTTCTGGCGTGTAAAAGGGAAAAGTAAAGAAAATCCAAAAGGAATTAGACTAGCGGTAGGCAATCTTCCATAGAATAGAGAAGTAAAACAAGAATTCTCCAATCAGAGAGATGCTTGATTTTCAGGCCACACTTGTCTATTTTCTAAGTTGCCTTAATTAACAACCAATTTATCCCAATCAACAATCTATGAAGTTGTGCCAACTAACAATCTTGGATAATGATATACATAAGAAATTTTCTTATACAGAAACTACTTCCATCCCCACCTTTGACCATGTTACTTGCTGGGCTTTCTCCGCCTTGCAAGGCCTTGGCGTCCTAGCACTCGCAATTGAGGTTGACAATGCCAAGGTTGCCTTCGCCACCAGCGTTGCCCACGGTACAAAGCCATCTTCCTTGCCAATTGTGCTTGGCAATCGTGTTGTTATAGCTAAAGTCCTTGAGAACATGGGTTCTCCCGAAGAACCCAGATTGGATTCTCCAGGGAGAACCCAGAGAACCCAAATTTGAGTTCTCGATTTGGGTTTTTCTTCAATAAATCAAGGAGAGGGGAAGAGAAAGAAGAAGAAGGGAGGAGAGGGAAAGAAGAAGAAGAAGAAAAAGAAACGACAAGGAGGGAACAGATCTATAGATGGAAAACTCAAAAGCAGAGAGAGGAAGAAAGAAGAGTAAAGAGAGCAAGAGCACTAGGTTGGTAGTAACGGAGAGAGATGGATTTGTTGACAACCACTTAAGATTTCAAAACAAATGAAAAATTATTTATGTTCATTAAGAGTGGAAAATATAAAAAGAAAGGGGAGTCATCACTCATCCAAATTATAAGGTGGGACAAGTCACCTAAAACGGGTCTGCGCAAAGATCGAGGTTTGAGGGTTCGGTTAGGAGTGAAGAAGGGCATACGCGCACCTCACAATCCTCCGTTTAAACACGGTTGCATACTTTAACATTGGGGGGGTTGATTCAACTTATTCATCATGTTTATGTTTGAGTCTTAATAGGGAAACTTAAAAAGGAATAAACCAAATTGAAACTTTTTTTTTTTAATTTTTGGACTAAAATGGACAAAATAAAAGACAAGTATGCACAATAAGCACAAATAAAAATTAAATGGACTGATTTGAAAAGGTTTGAAACTTTTGGACTAAAGTGCTTGAACATGAAAGGATTGTGCGAAATTGAAATAAAAGAGATAACTTTTGATTTTTTTTTACCTTTTAACCTTTTTAGTTTTTTTTTTTTTATTGGATTAAATCGGACTGACCCGACCCAAAAACACGATTCAAGCATAAAAATAGACAAAAAGAAGATCAAATATGCAACCAAAGCGGGAAAACTAGGATTCATGTAATTTCCAGTAACAGCAACACATTCATCAGAAAATAAACTGAACTATTTTTTTTGATTTTCAAACGGAACGTGTACAAGCTTGAACATTAAACAAAAAGATGCAGAAACATCAACCAAAATATAAGAAAAACACCCACGGCAGAGCTTTTTGGGTAAGATGGATCCAGATCAGATGGGAGGGATCCCACCCACGGGACCAGGCTCCTATCGTCTCCTTCACCATCATTCCCAGAAGGCTCCTCTGTTCAGAAATTACCTAGCAAAAGGAGGCTGAAATATTGCCGGAATCTTGCCGGAATCAGCTCGGTTTTCTCCTCCCTCTTTTCTCCCGAAACCCAGAACAATGGCTCCCAAATCAAACTCCAACAATCAACCAAAGGCTCCCCAAATTCAAAAAACGACCCCCCCCCTTTCTAACAAAAAAAAAAAAAAACTCTATTTATACCCACTTGTTGATTTCTACCGATTGAAAAGCAAAGGACCGAGCCCTCCTTTTTTTTGTCTTTTGTTCAGGGCTTCTGGAGTGACAGAGCACGTATAGGATCGGGTTGCAGAGGCGTGCAGGATTGGCATCAGCATGCAGGGGGCCGCAGAAGGCAGGGGGCGCGCAG